GGTGTCACAAAAGCAGAGCCAGCACCTCAGGAAGAAAGCGAGGGTCCCCACCATCACATTGGCCAGGGTCTCTGTCACTGCACCAGTCCCCCCACACCATACACCCGGTGAGTGCCCACAAGGACTGTCCAAACCTGCCCAGCTCGGACAACCCTGCACCCAAACGCTGGGAGACCTTAAACCCCAGCTCAGGCAGTAATGTGGAAGTCCAGGCACCATGGGACCTGCAAGAGCAGCTCCAAAAGGGCAGCAGAGGACATCTGCACGTGAAGACAGACCCCCCCACACCACCAGGGGCAGGATCTTTTGACAGAGAGAGCTGATGCTGGCCAGATGAGCTGCCACCCCACAAGAGCCCAGGGCAGGTTGGGGTCACCTGGAGAAGGTATTCTGTCTTCTGCCGGGTGTAGTTTGTTATCTTGGCGGTGATGGTCTGACTGGAGCCCAGCATGGTGCAGAAGTAGAGGGGCTTCTCTGGCCTGCTCACGGTGGCTGTCAGGTGCAGGTTGTAGTAGAAAGAGCCCAAGTCGCTGCTTTGAAGCACCAGGCGCCCGGTACTCTCACCCGTTTTCAGGGGCTGGTACTCAAAGACAAGATCAGCCTGGGAGGACCAAAGGGAAAAGCCACAGGGTCAGGCAGAGACAGGGAAGGCAAGGCCCAGGACGGTGGGAATCGGTTGCTGGTGTGCTCACAGGCCAGAGCCCTGCTGCATGTGGGGGACAATTCACTTGGGGGACTGTCCCCAACAGCCCTCCAGCACTACCCCAGAAGCTTCCCACCCCAAAATGCCCTTATACTCCCCCAGGCCACATGCCACCTCCTACCAATCCAGGCTGCAAACACCCTGCCAGTGGGGTGAGGCATGCTGCAGCCACCCTAAACAGAAAACAGCCACACTAAGCAGCACGTGGCACAAGGACCTCCCACAGGAGCATAGCACAGAAGGGTAGCTCCACCAGCACAGGGCAATTCCCAGTAGGAATATTCTCACAGAATGCTTCCCCTCTGGATTATTAGCAGGTGGGAGCTGCCACCCTAGGAAAGCAACCCCAAATGTTTCATGTAGGGCTTCACAGCTCCTCCCAGAAAGACTGCAAGGAGAAGAGAACGTAGTGGATGAGCTTTGCTCCTACCTCCGACTGCGCAGGAACAGTGAACTGTGGGGGAACGTTGATGTCGGGAACTTTGCAATCCACAGCAAAGGTCACCGGGACAGACAGAGGGTTGTCCACCTTGACGGCAGAAGACACTCTCTGCCGAACAGCGGTGGTCATTTCAACGCTGCTGATGGGTCCCGAAGCGGTGGCCTTGAAAGTCACCATGTAGAACAAGTACTCCTTGGTCACCTCGTTAAGGAAGGTCACCTGAACCAGAGAAAAAGGGAAGCGCTGGTCATTCTGCACATAAAAATACACCGGCTGTGCTAAGCCAGCCCAAAGACCCCCCCCAGCTCAGCACCCCACCTCCAAGAACAGAGGAAGAGTGCAGGATGGGGACAGCACGTGTGGTATTTCCACTCGATACTCTCCCGACTGCCCGTTGCTTCCAGCTCACCAACATCCTGACCCACCTGCGCTGAGCAGCCCCCAGTGGGACCCTCACAGAGGCTGACATGCGAATGGGGTGTGTGGAGAGGTGCCTGTTGTTCAGTACCCACCCAGGACACCTACAATCCCACCGGTGGGCATGTGGAGGTTTGAGAACAGGCGTGTAGCTTCTCAAGTGAGCAAACAGCTCCTTGAAGAGCTCCCGGTGTCCACACTTACCGCTGTGTTGAAGACCTCTTCCTTGTAGGAGAGGAACGTGAGCTTGTAGTCCTTCTTGGCAGAGCCTGGCACATCAATGTATTCCAGCCCCTGCAGCACAGAACTGCTTTCCAGGTTTTCTGGTTTGAGTATATCCACTACCACGAGGAACCTGGAGTTGAGAAGATGCAGCAAAGGTCAACAGGAAGGACTTCCATAGGACACCCATCTTTTGGAGCTACAACACAGCCCCTCTCATCCTCAGTGCCTCAGGTAGAGGGAGCCAGCTCTCATCCACCTTGGAGGAGAACCCTCCAGGATGGGTTTGCATAGGCACAACATGGGCACTGTGATCCTGGACACCTACGGCCAGAAATGGCCAAGGAGAGTGGAAAGCTTGCAGGAAGAAGCTTCCAGGCAGTTGGAAGCCCTTCCTTGCACTGCTTGCTGATGAGATGAGACCTCCAGGGCTGGACTCACCTCTGTGGTCTGTTCAGCCAGTTGGAGACGGGGATGAGCTCCGTGTAGGAAGTCCTACACGGCACCTGCCGGAAAATGGTCCCCGAACACTTCGGGGCCTCAGCAGTCCCTTGCAGGAGGTAGTACAAGCCTGTCCCATCTGGCAGTGGGAAGAATATGGATCCCTAGAGATGAGAAACAAGATAAGTGAGCTCTCCTGCTCTGTCTGCCCCAGGTACTGGCTCTCGAGCGCACCTGGACAGCCCCATGTCTTGGCAGCTTTGGGCAGGTCCCGCTGGCAGAGCAAGGCTGTACGTTAAAGAGATACTGAGCATATGCAACCCTACAGGGCACAGATCCGCTGAGGACACTGGAGATTGAGCCCAGAAGTCTCTGGCTTCTACTCTGGCCTAAATTCTGGCATGGTGTAAGGTCAGCTGGAGCAGGACAAGGACCACAGCAGCCCCAGCACTCCAGAGCCCTTCTGAATTGACCCCTTTAAGAGCTTGTCCCTGGTCTGTCTCAGAAAATACTGCCCATGAAAACGGAGGGGCCAGACACCTGCACCTGCCCAACCTGAGACCTGCAGGATGGGCTCTTCCCAAAGCTCCTGCCCTACCGAAGATGACAGCCAGAGAGAGCTCTGCGCGAAACAGCGGGGCAGCTTCACCTTCTCGTACCCTGCATGCTGCAGAAGGACCCCAGCAGAGCAGTGCTGGCAGAAGTGGTCATGCCCAGGGCTTGGGGAGCCCACAGAGCTGAGCACAGGGGTCTCTGGGCTGCACAGGGACCAGGAGCTGCAAAGGACAAACTTCATCTCCCAGACCTAAGGAAAACCTGGCTTTTTAGGTTAGCTGCTCCAATACATTTAGTGGGCAGTCCAGACTTCCCACCTGCCCTCTCCCTGTGCCTGGCCTCTAGCCACCAGTAAACCCAGCTTCTGACATAGGTCACAGGACAATTCCAGCTTGGATGGGACCTCTGATGGTCAACTCATCCAACCTCCTGCCCAAGGCAGGGTGAGTTGTCATGGTCACTCTACGAGGGCCAGCATGCTGGCACAGCTCACATACCTGATGCTTCTTATCCTCCGAGCTCATAGTTAGGGGTTGGTAGGTGATCTTGTAGGGCTTTTTTTGCTGATTGGCCTCCAGATGTAAAAATTCAGGCCCCTTCCAGTATTCCCCCTCAATGACGGGCTGCACGGTCCAGGCCTGGTTGCTCGGGTTGGACAGGAGGATGGTCTGGCTGTGCTTCTCGCGCACGTCGCACGCGAAAGTCAGCGTCTGCAACAGAGGAGCGGAGAGGCTGCTTGGTTGTACCGAGGGACCCCTTCCGCTCTCCTCGGACTCCTACGAGCTCTATGCTAGGACCTGGAGCACAGGGAGCAGCCTTTCCTTGTCATATGCAAAATTTCCATTTGACCCACAGCTTTTGGAGTAAATTAAGTTGTTTGTTCTTAAAGAAGGGAGAGGAGCAAGTCTTTGGCATGCTGGGTGAAGGGGCCTGCTGCTTCCCAAGGAGGGGAGAAAGAAAACGGTGAGTCCTGGAAGGAAACTATCCCGTGCCAGGACAAGACCTGCAGTCACACAGCCCCTTCATGGGCAGGCTGAAGAGCAGCTCTTTTGGGAGCAAGAGCCCACACCTCCCAGCTGCACCCTCCCGAAAATGGCCACGAGCGCTGGGAGTCCTCCACGCCGCATCCCTGCACCCCAGGAGCTGGATGCAGATGCCCTGCCCGCTCCTAGTACTGAATGCCCTCTCCTGCCCAAACAGGGAGGACAAGCATGGCTGTGGGTGCAATACTGGGGATGGAGCTAGTGAGGAATTTTGGGAATCCTGCCCAGTGGTTTTCTCAGCTCTGGGATACCCAGGCAGGAGCAAGTCTATGCACCGAAGTCCCCTCTAATCCCTGCCCTGGGAGAGATGTGGTGCGAATGGTGGGGCCAAGGGAGGGTGCCACCCTGTGTCTGCTCCCATTACCTCTTTGGTCACAGGGGTCTCCATGCAGCATCCCGCCAGCGTAAGCCGGAGCGGCTCACTGCCCTGGATGAAGCACTGCAGGCCCTCGTACTGGATAGCACGGCTCAGCTTAGAGGGGTGGAAGGTCACAACGAAGGGGACATCCATTCCCGGGGAGATGTAACCCTTTGTGGGGCTGATGGAGAAATCTGGCTTGAAGCTCTCGATGTCCCACTTAAACCTTGCCAAGGAAAGCACAAGGAGAGGAAGGAAGGATTAGGGACTGTGAGGCTGTGACTGTGGTGTGCTGTTCCTAAGCGTCTTGTGGGCTTTTCCACCAGATCTCAGGCACGATGCTGAGCCACCTGGCAGGAAGGCCTCAGGTTGGGCAGGACTCAGCTGCACCCGTCTGTAAACAAGCTTTTGGTTGTATCCCTTGCTAACTTCCAGGGCTTGGCTGCACTGGGATGGAAAAGCAGAGGGGAACTATCTGGGCAAGCTACAACTCCATCCAACCCCCATCCAAGCCCCCATCCCTGCGAGAGGACAGGGTTCTGCATTACTTGACTCCTATGTCGCCCGTGTTCTGCATGATGACGCGCTGGGATGTGTAGCTCTGCTGCACCACCGCTCCAAAGCTGAGGTGTTCCTGGTCCAAGCTGACGTGGATGCCCTGGCAGGAGCCCTGTACCATGAAGAGGGAGCGCACCAGGCCGCTGCACTCCAACATCACTTCTTCGGTGAAGGGCTGGATGCGGCGTTTCGGGGAGAAGGTCACCTCCACTTTACAGGTGTCTCCTTTCGGCTTCAAACTTAGTCCGTTGGTGGGGTTCAAGCAGAGAACCTGCCCAAAGAAATGAGTAGAGACCACTTCATCTGGCAACAGAGCTGCACGTCCTCCATCACTAGAGCCAAAGAAGCGTCTCCCAATTCCTGTTCCGTCCCCACCAACGTTGCCCCAATCCCACTTATTCCCTCATAGGCATTCCTAGGAATCAAAGGTGGTTTTCTACTATTAGGGGAGCCCTGGCACCGAGCTCAGATGAGGCATTCACACTGCAAGTGTCTGCTGGTAGAGCAGTCCCTGCAGGGAGGACAGGATGCCACACAACTGTCATTAGCTGCTAGCTCCCGCTCAGAGCAGGCCATAGCTACCCGCAGGCACACTGAAACGCTCTTCAGTGAAGGAAGGGGCCTTACCCCAGCTTCCTGCAGCTCTGGCAGGGTAGACATGAGACTGAGCTTAAAAGTGAGAGGGGCAGCACTGTTGTTTGCTATGGTGACGGTCTTCTTCACCGTCTGTCCAATGGAGAGGGCTCCCAGCTTTACCACCTTTCCTTGTGGTTCCACAACGTCAACCTGAAGCAGGAGGGATTAATATAAAGCAAAAGGAGAGAGGGAAGGGAAAGAAGAGATAAGAAAAATGAGAGAAAGCCATGCTGGCTGCCTCCCACCTGGAGTTTTAGGATTTGGATTTCATCTCACCTTCATTTCTGTGCCCCTTCCTCGGACCTCAACAGTCTTCTGGCAAAGACCATTGATTTCAAACGGGATGAGCTCATGGTAAGACACAACTTCTCTGGGATAGAAAGTGATGGGCACCTCCACTGTCCCTCTGGGGCGCAGGATGCACCCTGTGAAGTGCACTTCCAGGTGCGCGGTGCTGGTGAACAAGCAGTTCAAGCTGGCAGAAAGCAAAACAGAGGTGTCACAAGGTTGTACGTGCTCAGACAACATCAGGGCTACTTGGGGTTCTCCTGTGTCCCTGCTCCTTCAGGATTTCACCCACAGTGGTCATGAGGACACGGGGCAGGCACATGCTACACACGGCCCGAAGGAGTGAAGAGAAGGCCTACCTCATATCCTTGTCTGACTCGTTGGCGATGACAAGGGTCTGCTGGGCCAGTGGCATCCCAGCCTGGTAGATGAAGCAGGCTCCAAAGTTGAGTCTGGTGGTGGAGAAGTGGATGGTGGGCACTACCACGGTAGCCAGGAACACGCAGGTGAATGTGGGGCCCTTGCTGATCTGGTGGGGTGAAAGACAGCGTGAGCCAGATGAAGAGATGAGAACTACAACTGCAAACACCAGAGATGGCTGATGAAGAGGATGGGGGGAAGCTGGCTGCAGTGACAATAAGGAAAAGCAGGTGCCAAAGGACCCCAGATGGCTTCGTCTGAGAGGGAAAGGGTTTTGGAGAGTCACATCCTTGCTTTGTGCAGCCACATGCTGGCAAACCCTTTTCTGCCAGGAGGGGCCTGGCAAGGAGGAACAGCTCCATTCCCATGCACATCTAGCCTCACCCCCCAGAGGTGAGTACCTGTGGAATACATCCTGCCACAAAAGCATTTCCTAAAGTCATCCTTGGATAAGCACTTATTAAAATATTCTGTTTGGAAACTGTCAGGCTCTTTATTTCAGCAGCAGGAGCCTCTTTGCCTTGGTCAGGCTCCTTAAGTGATGGAGTTCACCCCCCGCCGCATGCTGCCAAGCTGCTGCGGAGGGAAGGTGAAGGTCCCGTATTAAACGCTGGGGCCTCACCTGCAGCGTCAGCTCTAGGTCCTTTAGAGAGCACACCTTCCGCGGGTGAAACGCCAGCTGGGTCTCTGCTTTCCCCTCCACCTGCACGGTGCCCGTCTGAGGGGTGATGGTAAGGACCTGCTTACGGGCTGCGGGGCCGCTCAGATCCCACGAGAAGGTGAAGCTGAACTTGCCGTTGTTGTGGATGCTGAAGATGCGCTTGACGTTCTCGTTTAGCTGCACCTGCAGGGAGAAGGCAGTGAGGACCTGGGGTCGGAGCACAAGCGTAGAGTCAGCTGGCCCAGCAAATGCTCCTGCATCTTTCTCATTCAGCTAACGACCTGCCTGGAAGATCAATCTCCCTCCCTCTAGAGACCCATAAATGAAGACAGACATTCCCTCTCATTCAAACAGATCTGCAAAGCTCCCGGTTAAGACCCAGCATGGCAAGGCTGGTTCAGGGATCCCCTGCTGCTCACCTCCTTGAAATCAATGATGTTGACCTTCTGCGCACTGAGTGCAGTGACACAGCCGTCGCTGTCCTCACACCTGACAGACACGTTCATGCTGTAGCCGGTGGCTTTGATATTCAAGCAGAGGGGCTGGGTCTTCCTCTTAACATCGCACTTGAGGTTGAAGATCACCTCTCCTTCCAGTGTTGGTGTGAAGATGACTGTGATGGGAACCCTGGGGAGAGAAGACCCTTTCTGCTCCCTTCGCTCTCTCTCAGCTCTTGGCCATACACTGTCTGGTCTAAGGGACAGCAGCTGTGCAAGGGCTGTGGCGAGACCCTAGCAGCTGCACCCTGCCCTTACTGGGCCTTCCCCTGTGGAGCAAGCCCTGGCAGCAACTGTTTAGGTTATGATGACCCCATGCAATGAGATGGCAGAGGATACAACAAGAAGGCAGCAAACCCTGAGCTAACACTGCCCAGCCCATGTGCTACAGGGCAGCATTGGGTTGAGACCCCACTTCTGCCCTAAACACAGAGGAGGGCACTCCTAGAGACCCTCAGTCTCTCCCATCTGTACGACAGGGGTAACATCCTCTTTGCAAAGAGAAATCATCCAGCTCCCATGACAGCAGTGCAACCTGGGGGCCAACAAACTGCCTCTTGGTAATTCTGGTGGGTAATTTCTACGTAATTTCTGGGTACGTGATCAAACACAACTGAAACTCAGATTTCGGGAGTTACTGTGGCTCTCCTGAGAAGTGGTAACTGATACAGGATGCTCTCTTATCTCGCATCCAGCAGCAACCCAAAATTCGGCATCTTTTAAGCCACAGCAAAGCTGCCCGGTGCTAATGAGTGCAGGGACATCCACCATGGGTCAGCAGATGAGCTAGTGACCCGTTATACTGCTTGAACTCGTGACGATGTCTGATCACAAGTCACGGCTGCAGTTTAAGAGCAAAGAGCATCCGTTTTCTGACAAGTGAACCTCAAAACAGTGTGAGCTGGTTGCTGTGTCCCTTGATGGGCTGCAGTGCTGCTTGTGGGCTTTGCTGCTCTCAGTGGCTTTGCACAGACATAGAAGTGTCCAAGGCCAGGCTGGATGAGGCTTGGAGCAACCTGGTCTAGTGGAAGGTGTCCCTGCCCATGGCAGGGGGTTGGAACTGGATGGTCTTTAAGGTCCCTTCCAGCCCAAACCACTCTGTGATTCTATGCATCGTGAGCTCTGTCACCAAAGCAACACAGAGGAGACTTTGCATATTTTAGGGCTGCTGGCTCAGGGGATCACAGGATGAAAACCCCAAAGCATGCTTTTGTCATCAAAACTAGAGGATCCAATGCCTGAATTTCTCCAGGAAGGGGGCCTGGATGACTGGGGTAACCTGGACACAGCCACATTATGGAGAAACCTTAAGTTTTATGGAGTCCTCACTGGGAAGGAATGAAACAAGGCAGACGTATGCTCATGCTGTGAATCACCTGGTGACTGCAGGGGGGACAAAGCCTCAAACGCAAAAAGAGAGTGGAACGTTTGGCATGTGGGAGAGGAAACTTGGTCTGTGAGCCCTGTTACCTTGAAAGAGGAGCAATGGAGCCTTCCAGGGGCTCTATTTTCATGGAGGCACTGCATCCCTCTGAGAAGAGCGAGCTTTCTCTGAAAGCAAAGCTGAAGGCTTCCTTCTCACTGTTGATCAGATAGATAGTCTGGTGCACCTCGTGCCCTGAGGAGAGGACAAGGCAGCTGCTGAAAACCTTCTTTTACTCTGGCCAGCAAACCTCCACTGCCCACCGAGCTCCTGCCTGCTGGCTGAGACCTTGCAGCCGATCTGCAGTGAGGAGCACAGCATGCTCAGGATGCCAACTCGAAAACGTGCTTCTGACCCGCTGGGGTCCCCTGCATCACCCCCAGATCCCCTCTTGGAAAGAGCCCCGACCACCTGTGTGCCCCTGACACATGCCTTCCTCCCTCCCCCTTCCTCTCCCTTGTACACTTGGGTGCCAGGAGCTGGATGATCTGCTCACAGGTGCCCATTTCCATTTCTAGCTTCCTTGTGGGATCCTGCTGGGACAGTGGGACTGCCGGGCCCCTGGCACAGCCCACATCTGAGCGTGTAAGGTATAAACTTCGGTGCTCACCGATCAGCAGCAAGTGGAAGTTCAGGTGGGATCTGTCCAGAGTCACTAGTGGGTCAGTGGTGTTGCCCACCAACAGGAACGGGACTGAAATGTTCTGCTCGGGGATTGTAAAGACCCAGAATGATTCTGTGATGTCCAGGTGCTGGGGGATAAATTCAAACTTCATCTGGGGGAGAAAGAGGCAAATGAAAGTTGCTGCCCTTGGCAGGGGAAGGGGAGGGGCATGCAGTCTGTATCACCAAGAAACCCCAGGAACCTCCACCTTACATTGCTGTGAGCTCAGAGACAGGCTGCTGTGCCCCTTGCAGCCCAAAAGCAGGGCAGGTGTGGGGTACAGGGTGAGAACAGGCCCATCAGCCAGCTCATGCACATCGCACTCAAAGGTTTCTTCACAGTCTTGGCAAGCTCACAGTGGGATGGGACGCCCAGCAGTGTAGACAAAGCTGGTGTTAATATGGCATAAACGTGTACTGAATCTACCTTCTTAATCTTCTGCACCCACCTCTGCTTTCTTCCCTGGCTGGATCTGGCCTCTCTCTGTGAGGCAGAAGAAAGCTGACTGTTCTGGTGGGGCTTCAGGGTCTTCGCAAGTCCACTGGAAGGAATACACGGAACCAGTTGGGTTTGTAACCGTGAAGGCCCTGGGCACACAAAGCAAGAAAGGACTACTAAGGTGGTGTTGGGATGTTAATGACTCTGTCCTGCAGCAGACATCAGGCACTGCCAGTTCTGGACACCATCTGGAAGGAGTTATTTGGTACAGGGGAACAACGCTGGGAGCACACACATTTCACCTGCTTTTTAGGGGCCATGTTTGTCTCCCAGTTGTCTACAGTTTAACAGCTGCCGACAAAGTAACTAGCAAGGATACAGCCAAACTCTTGCATGTTACAATGGTGACCAGGAGAAGCCATGCCCACACCT